AGTGCAACTAAAGTTATTTACACCTACCTCTCCCCACCGTTGGATTTTAGTTGATTGATCAAGATAAATGACTTATAATATTATGGGGGACATAATCAAGTTCGTTTCCTATTTAAGGTGTGACATTTCCTTTTATTCTTAAATGTGATTTAATTCCACCACCATATTGTTCCTTTCGTTTTTCATTTTTTTTTAAAAAGACTTTGTGATCCTCTAGCAAATTTGAGATGGAACAAAGCAACAGCAACTCATGGGAATTTATAAGTCATTTTGCTTTGTTCTCAAAACACATGTTGGCATAGTCTCGAACTCGATATTCTTCTGTCATGGTTAAAAACCGCTAAGGCTTTTATAATAATCTTTAGAACATTGTTCATGACTGATTCATAATCACGAAATCTTGATTTTCTTCCGCCATAGTTAGCTGCTGAAGCTTTTAAATTGTGTCATCTTTTTTGTTCTTTTCCATGATTACGAGAAAATTTAATGTTACTAAGTACATAACATAATAGCAAGTTAAACGAAACAAACTTGTGCAGATGCTAAAGTGCCACCCACCATTGATTTATAGCCACTTGAGTTAATTTATGAGATGGATCTTGTAAGTAAAATATCATGAGTTAATTTAAAATTTCCCAAATCTGAGATGAAACAAGTCAGGCGGACCATAAAGTCTGTTAGGCAGATGAGAAACAAAAGTAAATAATAGATTAAGAAAGGAATTAATTTTGTGTAGGAATAAAAGGGAATGAAATATTTTAAATAGGAAACAAATTTGATCATGTCCCCCCATAATATTAAGCCATTTATCTTGGTCAATCAACTAAGATCCAACGTTGGGAAGAGGTACGTGTAAATACTTAGTTTCACTCTAGGTGTATTATAACCGTACCCCATATAATATATATAATATATTATATATAATATATATAATATATATACTATATAATATATATATATATATATAATATATATAATATATAATATAGAGAGAGAGAGAGAGAGAGAGAGATTAATGGGTATATTTCCTCCTTGACGGCCTATGTGGCAGGCAATCTCCACCATCCTCATAAAGTAGAAAGAGAGTGTGTGAGTTGGTGGGATTGTGGCCACATAGGTGTCAAGGAGGAAAATCCCCTCCTTGACATAGGACACGCCATTAATCTCATATATATATATATATATATATATATATATATATATATATATATATATATATATAATTATATATATATATAATATATTTAAAAAAGGGTCATCGAAATATGATATATCAGCTTTAGTACCCTCTCCTAGGTTGATTAACTTGTCATGGTTCAAGAATCCAAGATGAACAAATAATTGTATAGGCTAGTAAAATGGTCTTGATTAAACTTTAATCAGAAGTTCAGTGTGTAGCATGCCGATTAGAAAAAGATCATTAAAACTTATAAACCAAATAATACAACTCATGAAAGGAAAAGTCCATTTGGCTCGCGGCGAGTTGCCAACTCGCATGAGAGGGGGTAGGGGTGGGACCACAGCTTTCTTGTGGGTCCCACCCCCTAAGCGCCACTCTCACACGAGTTGCAACTCGCGCGAGCCAAATAGCAAGGTTCCTCATGAAACTATATAATAACTCCATGTAGCTGCAAAGAGAACCTACATAATATAGCATCTCAACAAAATCCAAGTATCGTACACGTGGATCAGGGGGGAAACCGAGGAACTTCTTACAGTAGTATAGGATAGACTATTTCCAAAAAATGAGATGGTAGAACTTCTTACAGTAGTATAGGATAGACTATTTCCAAATAATGAGATGTCACTCCCAGTGATGAAGTATCATGTTCCTTTAAATTGGACCAGTATGAATATGAAGCACCAAACCATCATTCACTCAATGGAGATACTTACACTATCTGGACTTGATACATCATCTTTGGTAGGAACTAATAGATTTTGTTGTTTTTCATTCTCATATCATATTAGGACAAATGAAAAATTAACTTTCTCAAGTGTTTGCACAAACCCACATATTCCTTACAATTCATTGCCCCTTATATTGACTTTTAAAGCCCCTTTCTTGAAGTTAAAAATAAAAGTGGAAAGTGAACCTAAAAGTACACATGTTATTTGGTGACAGTATACTACACAATTCTGAGGTTTAAGACGGCGTAACCTCCCTTTTATATAAAAAGGAAATAATCTTTAAATATTTCAACATCTTTCTTAAAGAGTGCCATGCATATATTTTGACATCAGTCGGGTTTTTGAATTTGCATCGATGATGAGGACTATATTGTGTTTAAGTTTTGAGAATAGGGCATGTCTTTATCTGAAAGAAATATAGGTAATTTATCTGATAACTTCGAGAAAGAAAAATCTTCATGCTGAAACAGAATGGATAACATTCACATGTATCATTTACCAAGTTACAAAGCAAAGAATTACCTGAACAGTGGACGTATTCTCAAAGAAATTACGAACAAGTGGCTCCATACTAAATATATCATCAGGAATCCATGAATCACCCATCTTGGGGAATGTATTATAAGCATGACCCTAATAACATAAATAAAGAGAGCAGAGTTAACATGAGTATGCCATTAACCTGTTAATACATAACAACTATCAATACATCAAAGGTATCTCCTTACTGCATCATTTCCTGCAACAAAAGCACCAGAGAAGGCAGTAACACCCACTAGGACACTAAGAGGCAAGGCCATTTTCCGAACCTTTGCAGCACCATTTACCCAAGATATTGATCCATTTGGTGGTTCAGGCATGACAACTGAGAGGGCAGTCCAAAATATGCCACAGTATATACCAAATGCAGATATAAGATGAGTCGCCAGACGATATGGGCTAACTCTTGGCTGCACATAGTCTGATGCTGGTTCCTAATAAGAGGAATAGGAAAATTATAAATGAAAAGTCAAATTGTTGATCGGGATGTCTGAAGCTATGAAAAGATGGGAGCTTTTTTCCATACCTCTAGACCACTCTTTACCATCCACCATCCAATCAACCCTTGACCACCACCAAGTGCAAAAAGCGCTGAAAGTCTCAGTCCAAGTTGGCGGGTGATAAATCCTTTTGCAAGAAAATATGAGAAAGGTAAAGCAAACACGAGACCCAATCCTCTTCCCCACATTCGATGTGCATATTCCATCCAATAAATGAATTTAAAGTCTCCCAAACTCATTCCTTTGTTTACACTGTATGAAGAAACATAAGAAAGAAACCTCACTGCATCATAACCCCACAAAAAAGAACAGCAGCAGCAGCAAGAACAAAGCCTTTATCCTGCATTCTTTGGGTGGCTACATGAATCCTATTCTTCCGTTTTGTTCAATTATTGGTCATCTCCTTCTTTAAGTTAACTATTATTATCCTTAATTGTTTTCAGCCAAGTTCATTTAGGTCTTCCTCTAATCTTGTTTGCCTCATTAACCATAATCTTATAACTTCTAGTAGCCGGTGCATTTATTGGCCACAAAAAAGGACTGATTACATACAAACAAGTGAATCAAAGGTGTTTTCTGAATTTGAACGATTACTCATATCTTCCAGAATTGATTGTTATGAGAAAAATGCAGCAATCGATTTTCTTTAGATTCAACATACCTTCCTGATCAAATGAAATAGCACAATTTATGAGACTATCATTTCCTTTAGTTATAGCATTCAATAAAACCATGAAGAGTAACGTATGTCAATCAAGTTCATTGGTTTATATAGTAGTAGCATTTTGTGCAGCAATTTGCTACGTAACAATCATTTATAGAATTTCCAAATACACATGCAAAAGACTCTACATTGAAAGAGAGCTTCTAGGGTTCACATCTATACAATGTCAACAAGGAAAACCATCTTCATCCATAGGAATAATGCTAAAACAGACTTGTTTACTGGGAACCATCTTCTAGGGTTCTAATTTCATTACAATTGCAATAATCTCTAATGTTTTGATTGTTATTTGATTTGATCCTTATTAAGCTTAGTAAATTGCAAACAAAATTGTGTTTTTTGGTAAATAAGTTCATCGAATTGATCAAAGACAGTGCAAGAAAACCAAAAGTAGACAGGACCAAGGTAACATCATTACCGCTTGTACTCAGGGGACTGCTGATATTTCTCAAATTCGAGCAACCATTCCTCCTCCGTAAATGGCGGAAGACCACCAGTAAATTTCCAATCTGTCATTGATAAACCTGATCGAGTTAGACGAGTAACGCCACCAAGCACCACCATACTGAAAACCCAAGCAGCACAACCAAAAAGCCATATCCCAACCATTTTTTGAGGACGAGGTCCCCCAGCAACAAGCATTTTTAGTCCTGAACTAGTGATTTCTGATTTGGCGGAACCAATGATGGTTGCGGAGGTGGTCATTTGCCTTTTAGGTGGACCAAATAAAGTCTGAACATGCAAGTTGACCTGTCAGCCTTATCTTTGTGAAACCAAGATATCAAAATTGCAGATATTCATAGATAAATTGAAGAAACGAGTCCCCATGTATACAATTAATAATTCACAGCTACAAGAGTCAGTGTTGCTTTCATCGTCAAAGGAGCTAATTGTGACAGACAGATAATCCTAAGACAGTGACGAATATAAACAGACAAAACACACAACATAGGTTATAATAACTGATACTTGGAGGAAAAACAAAACACAACGCAGGAAAGGAAAATGATACAAGTAAAATAAGCTCATGCAAAACATGTACAGTACCAATTTACCTACGTCCAAAAAAGAAAGAGGAGAAACATCATTTTTTTTTTAATTTCAGTTAGAAGCACATCTGCAGATCACTGCAAAGATAGAATGTTCAATCCTGGCAGTTCATATGTGAAGGGCATACAGTTCTCACAAACTGACTATAATTTAATCATGCACCTTGAGTTGAAATTTTTCTATTGAGTGAAATATGTTGTATATGATATAATGCCAAATCTATCTAAAGTCGACCCTATCATGCTTTCTCATCGTATTCTAGTTTATTAGTTCCTATTAATGCTAATGATTGCATAAGTATCTTCATTTTCTTTACACGCAATATGTGGAAGACAACTAAATAACTTATGATGTAGTGTCTCTTTGAGGACCAGTTTGTTCCTATTTATAATTCTCCTTACAAAAAAAGGGTACCTATTTCCTGTATTTGATGAACTTATTTACCAAAAAACACAATTTTGCTTGCAATTTACTAAGCTTAATAAGGATCAAATCAAATAACGATCAAAACATTTGAGATTATTGCAATTGTAATGAAATTAGAACCTTGGAAAAAGATTTGAACTCGTATAGAGAGCTTCTGTATCTAGAGAGAAATGATGAAGATGATGGCTCCCGATAAAGACGACAACTTATCGACACGAACCTCGAAGAGGAGAGAAGAGAAGGATCATTTGAAACCCTAGAACCCCTGAGCTCAGAAATTAGGGTTAGGGTTTTGCTCCTTCGAAGCATAATCGCTCCCAATCTGCTGCTCGACATACTTCTCTTCAATTTGGCAGCCGCTCCTTCAACCGCACCCATAAGAAAACGTGAAAAGACTTTTTAAACGGGTCGAATTATAAACGGGTCACAATTCAGGGCCTTTTTTGGCACGGAAGTTGGCAGGCGGAGGTCCGGTGCTTGAATTAGAAAGGCTGAAGTAATGTGCTATGACCGACAATGTAGAACTAAAAATATTTCCCATGAAAGCAAAGAGAAAATGGTTTACAATAATTTTTAACTAAATACACATCAGGGCTCAGTTAAATTGGTGAGCAGCCTCTAAATAGTACACCAAGGTCTCATGTTTAACTCTCATGAACAAATTTCCATGTCAAAGTCAAACTAAAAAAATGTAATTACTAAATCATGTTTAAATATATTTTGAACTTGTAACTAAAATATGGTAGAGACAGAATGCTTTATTTTCATAGGAATGGATTTTTTTAAATCAATTACTTTTTATAAATGACAGAACCCAAAAGCTACAGTAAAGATAATATTTTAATCTATTATATTCAATTGTTTTATCCAATATTTAGAAATTTTAGAAAAAAATTGTAAATCCACATACAAAATGAGCGGCTTAATTCAAAATTCATGTAAATGTAAATCCCTCCATCATTGTCACATATCACACATCACACATACAAAATGAGCGGCTGACTTCAAAATTCAAATTCAACTAAGATAATGAAATTATTTATTCTCCCTCAAAACTCATGTTTCTCTCTCAAAACTCATGTTTCTCCCTCCAAATTCCCACTATAATACATAACTAGTTTCAGGCCCGTGCGATGCACGGATTTGTTTAATATATAAAAAATAATGTAGCAAAAGAATGCAAAGTAAAATAGTAATAATATATAAGTAGTCAGACATGATACAACCTAAGTTGCATATATAGTTTGGAAAATTAGAAAGTTTGGAAAACTTGAATCGGTTTAAGATCATATATAGTTTGAAAAATGTAATTGTGTAAAAACGATATTCAGAAATATGACGGGAGTTATTTTATTATTTAGAAGGTAGAAAAAATTCAAATTTAAAATGAAATATCAAAAAAGTACCAAAAATGGGTAAACTTAAAAAATTTGAAAAAATGAAAGGTTTGGAAAAATGAAAACATGGGAAAATAATTTTTGAACATTTTGTGCGAGTCATATCAATATTTAAACCGTTATAACTTTCCAAAGAAATTGGTAAGATAAAAGTGTAATGTCAAAAAACAAAGAAAATATAATACCTATCATATAAGGGGTGTATGACATCCACCTGACGAAAATAAGAGACAATGTAATACCTAAATCAAATAAAGTCAGTGTAAGAAAATTGTATATGATTGATATTTAAGAACATCATCAAACCATAAGAATACGGCATAAGAAGTACTCAATTAGTTAAATAAAATGTAACTTTCACATACTCTATATAAACATAAGAAAGAACAAAAATATTGAAGTGAAATGCATTGCCATTGGAGAAAAATAACAAAACATAATATAAGAGAAATACATTCTAGTAAGATTATATTAAGTTCATCACTTACCAATAGTAAAAATAAACGAAGAAACAAACAGATCTGAAACAGAAAAATATAATTATATAGAAAGAAAAGAAAAATACACTTGCATTCAATAAGATACATGAATTGAAAAATAAAATTTTAGTTTGTCAAACATGCACACAAGCATGCACCACTACATACACGTAATGCTATAATAAAATGATACAAAAATATCCAATGAGAATCTTCTTTGATGACTAGAATATAAACATGTTTCACCTGGTGATAACTTGCCAATTCTGCAGCATTTATTATAGCATCACGTGCAACATTAGGACCAATCCCAGTCCACAGAGCACAAACTCCTTCCTAACATTTTGAAATCTTTGACAACTTCAGTAAAATAACATGACTAAGAAAAGGTAGAATTAATTGGAGTTCAATATAAAACCTGTCTGACTATAGTAGAGTAAGCATTCGGAGCTCCTGAATAACGTCTTGGTACACCCGCTGGAAGCTTGCCTTCAGCTTAAAGTCGTACTTTCACCAAATCGGTTGGATTAGCGACTGTTATTGCTATAGCACATATTTGAAAATTATAACACAAACATGTTATAAAATTGTCGGGAGTAGCCCAAAGAAGAAATCTTACCTTAGAAATTAAAAAAACTCAAATGTAAATTGGTCAAACAGATGCAGTTTCACTGACACGGATATTATGAATTAAACTATAAAATGGATCTAGACCTACCAGTTGTAAGGTCAGCAAGTATTTTCTTGGTTAGAGAAATATCTCCAACGATATTCCCACCAACATACAAGGATTTAACCTAACAAAAGAGCCAACAACTGACAAATAAGGAATATAAATATCAAGCAAATTCCCATTTGATAAACAGTATAAACTAACAGGCTCATATAGTCCAATCCGTAGGCCTCCAAATACACATTGACGATGTAATCCTGGCACAATACCTTTCTAAAGTGCTGCCAGGCCTTCTTCTCTAGCAATTGTAGATACAGTGCCTAACATGCCTCTGTATTTTGGTAAAGTCGCTACATCTCCTGAAACCGCTTTTTTTTGAAGTTGAAGCCTGACTTTTGCAGTGTCCAAAGGAATGGTGCAAATCTTGCACATGAATTTATTCAAAAATCTACTAATTAATCTCAAACTACTACAAAACTAATTCTCTTGTTCAAAAACTAAGAAATATATTTTACAACCTAATTTCAGCAATAATTAGAATCTAAATTTTTTTAAGCAAGTCACATGAAGAGTACATTAAACTTGATAGAGGCAAAAACTCAAAACACCTCACACTTGGAAATAATAACACAAAAATAGCCTCACACTTAAAAAATCAAAGGAAATGTTCTCACAATTGGAAAAACCAAACCAATGCCCATACATTTGGGAAAACCCCAAACGAAAAAAGAAAAAAAACACTAACAAATAACACATTTTCGAGTCAAGTGCGCGTTACGTGCACCAAGATACTACTGATAGTATGTGGAAATTTTAAAAAGACAACAAAAGAATCATATCAATTATCAAATTAGCAATCCGCTTCTCTACACAAGAAATAAAGTTTTGCTCTATGAAAAGCCATCATCATCAAACTGAGCTTATTGAAATCAGTAGTAATAAAAACAAATAAGAAGAAGGGCTAAAATTGCCAGCCAAAATAGTAGATGGTTTGATGGAGTATGTGAAACAAATCATATTTCTAGCCTAATATTGTCAAGTGGCTTATGAGTAACTTATATGAAAGAATGTCATATTAAATATAGGAACCGAATGTTTGGGCATCCTCCAACAACTTGGTTAAGATAGGGGTATGCATAACATTGGAGTAATAATTATTTATTTGTGTCGCTAAATGGCACTTTATTAGTTCTTGAGTTCCTCTAAGCTTATCATAATTAGTGGTAGAAAAAGGCTTTGCATAATTCCATCAGAAGGCAAGCTAAAAATGAAAAAAAAAAACTCAAAGAGTACTAATATAAAGTATAATACAAAGCATGACAGATTGTTCCCACCACTGAGAAGATCATATCTACTTAAAATCGTATAGAAGAAGAAAAGATGGGGCCAGATAGTTGTATCTATCTATTTTTGTAAAATAAGAACAATAACTAAAGTTTATAATAATGAAAAATTCCCTCTGCCGGCACAAAAAGAGAGTACAAAAAAAGCATGATACCCAACAGAGAACATTCTCTGAGAGCAAAATCTAATCGACACTGGATAAAGATGAATAGGTGAAAATTAAATATATTTTTTATTCAATACCCAACAAAGTACATAGATCTACAAGGAATATAATAGAAATTGCTAGCTATGAACAAAGTAAAACCTTTATCTCAAACAAATATGCTAAAATTAGTTAAATTTGTTTAGGAACCATAAGAACAGAGCGTTACTGATCAATTTTGAGTATTCATAAAATGAAATTGACATAATTTTAGCTTATTGGAACTTTACTGATCAATTTTGAGCATTCATAAAATTCTACAAATATTAATTCTCCATGCAAATAAGTTTCCTCCTAAAAGACAAAAATCCATAAAATCCAAGGCAAACCCTTCTTAATTCTGGAGTTCCCTTCAAGAGATTCCTGTACTGTAGAGAAAAAGAACTACCATGAACTAAGAAAGAAAAGAAAAAATTTAAACAAATCTATATCTATTACCCTTGCACACGCCACTTGGCAATGTTTTCTTTTTTTAAAATTTCTTTAAAAAATTCTTTTTAATATTCAATGACACCCTTTCTTGGAAGTTGAAGAAATTGTGTCATTGAATTTTAAAAAGAATTTTTTTAAGAAATTAAAAAAAAAGAAATTGCCAAGTGACGTGTGCAAGGGTAAGAGTTTTTAGTAATAGATATAGATACATTTACATTCATACTTCACTCAAGAAAACAGCTCTCACTACATCAGGTAAGTCCCAATTTATTCTTAGGTATAGCCTTTGATGATATCCAAATAGTTTGTCAGGTTGCCACCAGCATGCAAAAACAGAGCAACAGCCAACTAGGAGTCCATTCAACCCAAAAAAAGAGCAACGAAGGAAACCAAGAAGAGAGCAGTAGCCAGAAGCAATACAAAACAAAACGATGGCAAAAAAAAGAACGAAGCAGCAACAAGAAAAAAAAGAAGAAAGCAACAGCATGAAAAAAGAAGAAGAAGAAGAAGAGAAAGAAAAACTTAGAAGAAATTTAACAATGTCACTATCACATACTACCTAGCAGTCAATGATCTCAATATATGCAAATAAACTAACCAAGCCTGTACTTTGTGAGCGCAGCTAGCAATAAAGACCAAATTAGGGGAGATCCATTTAATCGTGGAAAAAATACTGTAGCGGCCAATATGCAAAAACAAAGCAGCGGCCAACTAGGAGTTCATTCAACCAAAAAAAAGAGCAAAGAAAGGAAACCAGAAAGAAAGCAGCGCCCAGAAGCAATACAAAACAACACGAGGGGAGCATGTATGATGTTGAAACAATGTTTTTTTTATCATGGACTGATAATAAAAGAGAGAATGATATATGAAATTTATCTTCAATTATCTTAAATAGGCTATAAATATTTATCTCAAATTTATAGAAATGACTATCATCTATTATTTATCTGAGATTTTTCTTTTTAAATTTTTCTTCAAACAATATTTATAT